TGCGGATGATGACGATGATGATGATGATGCTGATGATAATGATGGTGGTGCTGATGATGGGAATGATGACGATGCTGCTGCTGATGATGATGATGATGATGATCATCATCATCAAGCTTCAGGGTCATGAGTCAGGACGTCTCAGGCGAAACGCCCAGCCCGCTTTTTCGACGGCCTCGGGGTGCGACTGGAAGGCTTTAATTATAAGGAAAGGAATGGAGTAGGGAAAGAAGGAGGAGGAGAAGTAATCGGAACAGAAGGGGTAGGAGGGGGCAGGAGGAGGAGGAGGACGGGGCATGATGATGAGGAGGAGGATGAGGAGGAGGAAGGGCAGGATGCTGCTGATGATGCTGCTGATGATGCTGATGATGATGATGATGATCATGATCCTGATGATGATGACGATGATGACGACGACGATGATGATGATGATGAGGATGATGATGATGCTTGTGGTGGTAGTGGTGATGATGGTGATGGTGTTGATGTTGGTTGATGTTGTGATTCGTGATGTTGTGATGATGATGGTGATGATGATGATTGATGATGATGACGATGATGATGACGATGATGATGATGCTGATGATGATTATGATGATGATGGTGATGGTGATGATGATGATGATGATGATGATGATGATGATGATGATGATGATGATGATGATGATGGTGATAGTGGCGGTGGTGAATGGTGCTGGTAATGGTGATGTTGATGAAAGGGCGGGGAGGGAGGATGTGGAGGATACAGAGGGGGCAGAAGCAGGATGGGGAGCCGGTGAGAAACACAAGGGAGGAGGGGGAAGAGGAGGATGATGATAAAGAGGAAGATTAGTAGGAGGTGGAGGAGGGGCAGTAGGACGACGAGCAGTGTCCACCGCAGATACGGATTTGACCAGCAATTCGAGGCGGATCCTTCCGTGGCTCTGACAGGCCCCGAAACGTCACGAACTCTTTCTCCTGCCCCTCCTTGCTCTCCCTCCCTCCGCCCTCCCCACTCCTCCTCGTCCTCCCCACCTCCTCCCTCTCTCCCTTCTCCCTCTTTCTCCTCTTCCTCCTCCTGCCTTGTTTTGCGTGCGGCGATGATCCTCCTCTTGTTTACCCACCTGGAGAAGGAGGAGAAGGAGAGGGATGCGGTGGAACAGCAGAATTGGTGATGACGATGATGGTGATGATGATGAAGACGACGATGATGATGCTGCTGATGATGATGACGACGGTGGCGATGACGGTGATGATGACGATGATGGTGCTGACCATGCTGTTGAGGATAATGCTGACGATGCTGTTATGTTGACTCGTATGATGCTGATGATGATGAAGGTGGCGACGATGACGACGATGATGATGATAATGTTGTTGATGATGATACTGATGGCGATGATTCTGATGATGGCGATGATGATGACGATGATGATGACGATAATGATGGCGACGATCCTCCTCTTGTTGACCCACCTGGAGAAGGAGGAGAAGGGAGGGATGCGGTGGAACAGCAGAATTGTTGATGATATTGACGTTGTTGATGATAATGATGGCGACGACGATGATAATGCTGCTGCTGACGATGATACTGATTATTTTGATGATGATGATGATGATGATGGTGGTGCTGCTGATGCTGGTGATGATGCTGATGCTGGTGCTGATGCTGATGCTGATGCTGATGATGATGGTGATGATGATAATGATGACGATGGTGGTGGTGGTGGTGGTGGTGGTGGCGTTGGTGATGATGTTGTTGCTGACGATGATGGTGATGAGTATGATGATTATGTCGATGCTGATGCTGCTGATGATTATGATGCTGAAGCTGATGATGATGCTGCTGATGATGATGCTGGTGATGCTGATGATGATGCTGATGCTGATGCTGATGCTGACGAGGATGCTGATCGTGATGATTGCGATTCTGCTGCTGATGATGATGATGCTGATGATGATGATGATGATGATGATGATGATGGTGATGATGATGATGATGATGATGGTGGTGGTGGTGGTGGCGTTGGTGATAATGATGTTGTTGCTGTCGATGATGGTGATGAGTATTTTGATGATGTCGATGATGATTATGATGATTCTGATGCTGCAGCTGATGATGCTGCTGCTGATGATGATGATGATGCTGGCGATGATGATGCTGATGCTGATGAGGATGCCGGTAGTGATGATTGCGATGCTGCTGCTGCTGATGATGATGCTGATGATGATGCTGATGCTGATGATGATGCTGATGCTGATGATGATGATGATGATGATGATGATGATGGTGGTGGTGGTGATGATGATGCTGATGATGATGCTGCTACTGCTGATAATGGTGGCGATGACGATACTGATGATGATGATGATGATGATGATGATGATGATGATGATGATGATGATGATGATGATGATATTGATGATGATGCTGCTGACGATGATGCCGGTAGTGATGATGCTTATGATGATGATTATGATGATCATAGTATTGGTAATGATGATGCTGATGCGTATTATGATGACGATGCTGATTATGAATATGCTGCTGCTGAAGCTGAGGATGACGATGATGATGCTGATGATGATGATGATGCTGACGATGATGATGATGATGATGATGATGATGATGATGATGATGATGATGATGATGATGATGATGATGATGATGATGATGATGATGATGATGATGATGATGATGCTGATGATGAGGGTGAGGATGATGAGGACGAGGAGGAGGTGGAAGAGAAGGAGGAGACGGAGGAGGTGGATGAGACACAGAGGGGAGCGAGGAGGATGAGGATGAAGGGAGTAGATTGGAAAGTGTAGGGGGAGGAAGGGGGCGGGGAGCAGGAGGAGGAGGAGGATGATGATGAGGAGGAGGGGGAGGAGGAGCAGGAGGAGAAAGAAGAGGACGAGGAGGACGAGGAATAGGAATTGGGGAAACAGGGGAAAGGAGGAGGAGGAGGTTGGGCAGGAGGAGGAGGAGGAGGAGAAAGCAGAAAGAGGAAGGGCAGGGAGGAGTGACCGTTCCCATCACCCCCGCGGGCTAGGCCTCCTGCCTCGTCTCCTGGTGGTGCCCCTGCCGCCAGTGTTGGCCGAGGCGGCGGAGGGGGTGCCTGCGGCGCCGGCAGAGGACTGCACCGATCCTGGAGTGATGGGGGGGGGGAGGAGGGGGGGAGGAGGAGCATGGGTGGGGATTGCATCAATTGAATTCCTGCCGAGGTTTTGAAGCGCTCACCGAGCCCGATGCTCGATCGATCGCCGCCACTGTGCGGTTCCAGCTGCATCGGGCGCGGCGCTGAAGTGGGTGGACTCCCCGCTTCGACTACGTGCGAGGAGTAGGGATGGGGATTGGGGGGCGGGGGGGGGAGGAAGAGGCGTAAGAACCAGCTGACGACGATGTGATGAGGTGGTCGAAGGTGATGATGATGACGGTGCTGACCATGTTGGTGCTTATGGTGTTGATGGCTGTGACGATGAACAGGAGGTCGATGATGCCGATGTTGATGACAGTGATGATGATGATGACGATCATGATGATGATGACACTGGTGAGTCATGATGATGTTGATGGCGATGATGTTGTTGATGATGATGATGCTGGCGATGATGGTGATGAGGCATGGTGGTGATGGGGGTGATAATGACGATTATGGGAATGAGGATGCTAGTGTTGCGAATGCTAATGCGGATGATGATACCGAGGATGGAGGCTATGCTGATGATGGTGATGATGCCGATGAAGAGGAAGTTGTCGACGACGATGAGGATGCTGCTGGTGATGATGGCGATGATGATGAGCGGTAGCTATTGCCACATCGTTGCCGCCGTCGGTGTGCCACTGCATCGCTGTGGCAGATCCAGGTTGGCTGCTGGCAGCTGTGCAACGATGGGGCAATCTAAGACGTGAGCGGATCGTGCGCGCGTGGGGTCGTACTGCGGCGAAAACAGCACACCAGGTATCAATTTTCGTCGTGCCATGCCGGGGGGTGATCTTGGTTGTCCTGGGCTATCTAAGTTAATCATGATACCAGTACGGGGTGACATGATACTTGAGCAGCAGCCATATTACTTGGCGAACCTCTGGTTATCAACCGAAGGGCTTGATGCTGACCAGCAGCATGTGTATCATGGCGCGCGATCTCGTAGTCAAAGCGAGCTGATAACTCACGCAGGTGATACCAATGCGAAAAGATCAGGACAATACTCCTGACGAGTATCAGAATTCATAGCAACACGGGAAGTACCCCCATCAAGCAGCGCAGTCTTTCTGATCAATTGGTCCTGTTCGTTTTTCCCCACGAGACAGGTTGGGGGCGTTAGATTTTAAGAACAGAACTTCTGGCCCGTCCGCCCTGCATACCGCGGCCGCCAGATCCTTAGGCTTCCGATAATCCCTGGTGATCCCGCCCCCGCCCCCGCCCTGCATACCGCGGCCGCCAGATCCCCAGGCTTCCGATAATCCCTGGTGGTCCCGCCCCCCCCCGCCCTGCATACCGCGGCCGCCAGATCCCCAGGCTTCCGATAATCCCTGGTGGTCCCGCCCCCCGCGCCGACTTGCCCACTCTGCATACTGCGGCCGCCAGATCCCCAAGTCCTCCGATAATCCATGAGGGTCCCGCCCCCCGCGCCGACCATTCTGCATACCGCGGCCGCCAGATGCCCAGGTCCCCCACAGAACACAGCATAACACCACACCACCGAACTTGAACATTTCCGAGCATAGCATACCATATCATGACATACCATATCGTAACAACACCCCATGGCAGAACAGTGCATACCATAGCACAGCATCTCAGCACATGTCATTCCATATTATGACAAATCAAGCACACCATGCCATTTCAACGCAGAACTGAACATACCACAACATAATATGCCACACCATCACATAACATGCCAAATCATATCATAGCACACCATATCATCATAACGCATGGTATGACATGTTGGGACATACGTAACACAACCTAACATACTATCTCATAGCGGAGCAACATCGTATACCACAGCATGTCACAATATAACATCTCAGATTATGCCATGACAGAGCAAGCCACACCATACCACATAACATGCCATATCGCGACACCTATGCTATATCATCACAAGCTACATCATATACTAACACCATAAGTTATGCCATACTTAGCCACACAGAGCACAGCATGACAACACCCTCACTGCACAACATAACATATCATACCATGACACACCATGACATATCATACCATATCATAACATGCGCCGAAGGTTTCGGTGGGGATCGCTCGAAGCAGCAGATTCTTTGTTGTTAAAAAAACACTCTCCAGATAGCTTGTGATGATCACGATCACCTCACCGACGTGGGATCTACGTGACGATGGAAGAGCCTGAGGAGGGCAACACGAGGAACCTGAGGAGGGTCAGCGGCGACGAGAGACCGATCTTGGTATCTAGCTCATGGGGGTCTGCTGGACTTTCCGGCAGGGGACAGGGGTTGCAAAGCTCGGCGCTCCCTGATCGGAGAACCATGGGCTGGACTCAGTCAAGCCCCAGCCAATACACAGCACGGCCGACCAAGTCGTACGGCCTCTGCACCCGGTGACTCCAGGTGCTGGGCTAGCAGGATACTCCTGCTAGAGACGTGCATCTTCAGCACGCTCCGCTATGACGCCTCGCGAGACGGCTGTGGCCATGTGCGTCTACTGGTGCCACGAGGGCAAGGTCTGGTCGCCGATGTTGAAGGGCAACGCGACGCTGAAAACCTGGCTATGGTGTTACGTGACCATCAACCCCGATGCCGACGTAGAATACGGTCCTGAGTAAGAACTCATGCCGCAACCTGGCGAATTCGACGACCGCGACCCCGATGGCAATGGGCCGCAGTAAGTACGACGCGAACTTCTACGCCGAGGCCTAACAAACGAAGACGAATGTTCGTGGCGGATCTGTTCTACAGCCCGGAGAGTCAGGAAGTTCCCGTGTCCAGCTCCTGGGTCGCGTCGGTTCCAGCCCGAGGCCGTTCCCCCTCAAATGCTCGGCGCCGCGCGCGAACACGCGCCCAACGAGGACACGCAGCAACATCTGCCCGATACGAACTCTTTTGGGTGCAGCCGCGCCAGCCGCGGCGGAGTCCGCGCTGGTTGGCATGTCCGGGGACGTCGGGCCTCGGAGACGTCGTTTCTGGCAGCACGCCCGAGCTTAGAGTTAAGGCGGGCCTGTCCCTCTACAGGGGAATATTCATATATATATATATATATGTATATATATATATATACATATTGGTTTTGTTTTTAATCGTTTTTGAGCATTTTCGGGCATTTTTTGATTATTTTTTATTTTTCGTCCAAAACCCTCTTGTAGGAGGGCAGGCCCGACTTAAGCTACGAGTCCGAGGGCGGCGCGTGTGCAGCTTGCGCGCAGGGACCCCGTGCCGATGCTTCGAGCAGGGCGGCCTCCGCCACGAGGCGTCCAGAAGTCTGGCGCCGGACACGAACGAGGACGTCCTTTTGTTGGGCCTCCCGGGCGGCCCTCGTCGCCACTGCTGGCTTCGCCTCGACACTCTGGTCAGAGCGTGCCTCTGGAGAGGCGCGGGGAGAATAGCGGCGTCGGTGCTTTTTGGTTTCCCCTGGCGGGAGGATCTGGGCGGTGCCGAGCAAGGTTCCTGCCCCTCGTGGCAACCATGGGCCCCTGGGCCGAGTCCACTGCGGCGCGTGCGCGGGGATCGGGAACCAAGCTCCTGGCCCCAGTCTGACTTTGAGCAGTGCCAGCGGGTAATCTTTATATCTATATCCACTGCGTCTTGGACTTTCTGGGAAGGGGCGCCGAGGCGCAGTAGATATGAAGGAAACATCTGGCCTCGGGTCAGACTTTCATTTATATCTACTGCGCCTCGGGTGTCCGGGGAAGGAGGCCCGAAACTCCGAGCTGCAGTGGACTTGGCTCTACATCTTGCCCACAGTAACGCGAGCCAAGCTGGCGGATTACCTGAACTGTCGACGCCTGCGGCCTGCCCTTCGGCCAGGTTCTCAAGATCAGTGGTTGCGAGCCCTGGCGCGTGAGCATCTTTCTTCGGCTACCGCAGACAGCCAGCTGATGACCCAATCGCAAAGGGATCCGACATCGCCTGCCCAGTCGCTGACATTGACGAACACAGATCTCCAGTCGTGGGGCCACGCTGGGCTCCAGAGTCAAACTGCCGACCGGCTGCCGAGAGCAGATGCACAAGAGCCAGAGGGTGTGTTGGCCGGAGGCTCGACTTCTTCTGCAGCGAGTGCGCGCATCAACATCAACGGAAACGCAACTGCTACGCGAGCAAGGAAGCCGCCAAATACGAGGCTCTCCAGCAAGTGCGGCAGCAGCCCCTCAGGACGGATGCCTTTCAGAAAACGCAGGCGGTGCAGAATGGGCAAGCCGTTGCGGCGAGGACTCGCGCTGCTGCTTGTCTAGAGGGTGAGGCTGAGCGACAGACTACAGCATGAGTCTAGTTGCCGCTGAGAGGAGGTCCACGAGGGGAGCAGGCGTGCGCGGGCC